GCTTATTGTTAGTATCCTAGTACATCTGCCTGAGCTGAGCAACCTCCCCCCCTCCCATTTCGCACTGAAGCTCATTAGAGATCATTTTGTGACTCTAAATTCTAATTTCGGGATTTTTCTGGCTTTGACTTCTCCGCAGAGAAGTGTGGACTGTGGACCCTTATCTAGTTCTGATTTTCCATCATGTTACTGATACTAAAACTCAAACCATCCCTATACTGTTGGTGTTTTTCGTTTTCTTTCTTGTTTCTAGAAAATGTTGATTACTAATTGTATATGTATTTGTTCCTCCCACAATACCTCACGAAAACAACAAATCATCATTTTTCAGACGCTGATCACCAGTGATACACTATCAAGGCGAATATGTTTTTGGAACAGGAATGTTGAGTACTTTCCAACATGCGACCCTTGCCTTTTGGATGAACCTCACTTCCTATCGTTAAAATAAAGTAGGAAATTCCGTGAATTTTCAAACTATTGGGCGCAAAACAAGGAAAAATATCACGAGGTTGATCTTCATACCTTTCATGAAAATATATTTTTAAGGCAGTACATGATTTATATGGGAAGGGAAAATTCAATGTAAATAATTAGTGTGACTGGTTTAACTTCAATTTCTTACTCATAAATCTTTCAATGAAAAGACACTTAAGGTGATTTTTCAAGCTCAAGTGACTTGGTCGAACCGGCATGCGATATATCGCATCGATTAGATAGAAAATATAGATATAGATTTGGAATTTTTTTGGGGAAAAAACGACGATAGCCCTTGCGCATAAGCCTAAAGAATCATTCGAAACTCAGAAATTGGTAGACTCAGAGAAATGAAATCAGACTAAGGTTAGGAATAAACCCTCGCATTCGATACGATACAGAAATTGATAGCTGTATCGGACCGATGACTTCTACATTCAAGCCACATTCAGCGTGTGATTCCGGTGTCGCACCTGAATGTGAATCTTCAGCGGTGTGCAGTGAGAATTCTTCCCGCGCAGGGGGCGCCACCGCTATGTTTAGATTTTTGATTCACGCATGGTTCACGCCATTAGAGTCTGTACAGCTCCACCTGAATTCTTGAGCTATTATGAGAATTAAAGGAACTTGTTTCAAAATCCAAGAGTCATACTTTCTAGGTATAACAATCTTCTTCCCGTTGACACTGAAAAGGACGTAAACAGTTTTTTTCGGAAGCTCTTTATCTTGATCTCAGAAGAAAGTAGGGTTACCTATGCAAAATGACCTTGATACGACCAATCACGGGTTGCAGAGCAGTTGTAGATATCTCTCTCACACAGTGAACTATCTCCCTCGCACTTACAGGCATCTCATAAGAGAGACCAGGATCAAGTTTTAGGCTTTAATTTTTAACTTTCAAAGTTCGTGTTTGGCTTGAAACATCTTAACATGTGTTGCTAAAACATGAGTCCTAGAATTTAATTTATATGTTGTGATTTTGAAGTCAGATTTTCGCTGCGCAACGTGGTGGAATTTCCCGGAACTACAGCTGAAAAATCACCATAAACCTAGGTACCTGTATAAATTTTATTTAAAACCTACCCCAATAAAACAATTAATTAAAATATACATTTATTAGCCGATTGATATACTTCCCCATTGATTCTGAGTACCTATTCTAAATACTACGCGCTTTTCCAATAACATTACATTTTCTCCATCTAAAATATTGTTTTGTAGATAAAATCGAAACTCATTTCTCAAAAAATCGGCAAATGAATACCTAAATCATTAGTTTTTGCATATTAACGCAAGGAAAAAAATTCTGCAGCCAGGAGTACCACAGTATTTCAGTTTCGTTAAGTTTTCGCGAAGTGTCATACCTAATATACCTAACTCCTCCAGTAGAACACACTTTGCCAAGTGAGGTAGCCGTCCTCCCTCACCGTCTTGTGTCTCAGTCTTGACAGAGTGGACATTACTTCTGAGCATGAAAGGGAGGCGGAGGATGTAGAAACGCATCTGTATGGGCTTGCAGTATGACTTTACTCTGCTGAGGGGTGTTCATACTCCGGTGCCGTATTGAACAAAAATAACCTATTCCAAATATTTTCCTGTTGGTTCAAAGGTATACTTTATCGATGACCATGGCAACACGAAGAGATCGATATTGTGCGAGAGAGTACTTGACGCGCGGTGCTGAAGAGGCAAGGGTGAATTATCGATCGTGGCACGCGCGGCGTGGCGCCCCCGTGATGAGGAGGAGAGGGGTGGTGCTGTGCTCATGCTGCTTTGTCCCTGTCATTCAGTCGGACTTTACCCTTCACAGCAGTGGCTACCCTGTCAGGCTCCGATTCAAAAACAGGTAACTCTTGAGTAAACCGTAATTTTTTTAGAAGGGCCGAGTTTCAAACATTCATGAGATGTGCCTTCCGTTGTTCAGGTGGTTCTTCAGCTTTTGTGCACTGCATTCTCAGCACGATCGATATATCTCAAATTTTAAACTCCAGGTGAATTATTGTGGAAAAATCAGAATTTCAGACTGTAGTTAAATCATTGAAGAATGTTCGTCGCGAAAATCATCCTCTAAAATCTTAAAATAAAGTCAAAAGTACTGTTTTCAATCGACCATTGACATCGATACATTGAAATTGGTTTCAAAATGGAAACAGTATTTTTGGCTTTTTTTTAAAGATTTTGGAGGATGATTTTCAGTGCGAACATTTTTCAATGATTTATCTACAGACTGACATCCAGATTTTCCCAAAATAATTCACATAAAGGTTCAAATTTGAAATAGGTATATCGATCGTACCCAGAATGCGTTGCGCAAAAGCTGAAGATCCATCTTAATAATGTCTAGTATGGCGAATGACTTTCAGGACTCACGCACTTTATTTGCAGGTCAAAATATTCAATTAATTTAACATTCGTCATGCGAAAACGGCAGAAGTCCTGGACGTAAATGACATTGGAAGACTGGTCTCATGAGTTTCAGGATTTCCACCCCTCATTACAGTCCCTGGTAAAAATGGCAAGTGTTAGGTCAGTGAATTTTCCACTGAGGTCAGTGCAATTTGCTCTGAGGTCAGTTCAGTTTTCTCCGACGTAAGTGTTAAAGCACTGACCCAAGAAGTAAGCACTGAGGTAAGAGGCACTGACGTCGGGAGGAAGACTTACCTAAGTGCAGAGATATCTCTGAGGTAAGCGGGACTGAGGTCAGGACTTGGTTCAGAGGGTAAGTCTCTGATATCAGTCTTAATCGAACCGCACTCACTCCCAAAAAGTAGAGATGGCTCCCTCTTCCCCCACCCTATTTCATTTTCGTGGGGGAATATTCCTTGGGATACGGGGACCACAAACCTCATCTTACGGAGAGGCATATTTTTTATGAGGGGGATTTTCTAAGAGGGAAGGAAAACTTGTTTAGGTAGCCACACTCTTGAATAATTTGTTTAACCTCCTTCGTTTATGATGGCACTTAAATAATTAAAACACAAAAAAATGAGATCGGTAAAAATATTATCACCGCTATAATATGTATTTAGATGTAGTTATTTAAGCATTATTATTTTTTTAACTTAAGAGTAAAAAAAAAAAAAAAATTAAATTTGGTTTTAATTTTTTTCAGTTTTAACTCTTTTTAAAATGTTCCACTCTTAATTTTTTTAAAATTTTCCCAATTTATTTTTAATTATCCTCCAACTTTTTTACTCCTTTAAGTACTTTCAATTTTTGTATCTGCTAATTTATATTTTTTGTATCATCTCAACTTTGATTATTTTTTTTACATCCTCAGCTATAATTTTGAATTTTAATGCATTCTATTTTTTTTTTCAAAAAAACATAACATATAAAACTTCATTTTCATGTTGATTGATTGAAAAAGAATAATAAAAAAATTAAGTATCGGATTCAAATTCAAAGACAAAATCATCATTTGCTGTCAAAATTACTCCAATGGGGGCCCTGAAATGACATAATTACGCCCCTAGCACTTACACGCGCAGGTAGTGTAGTGGTTCAGTCGCTAGGTCGATCACCGAAGATAAGCTACGTCGGGCGTAGTTAGTACTTAGATTGGAGACCGCATGGGAACGAGCGTTGTCCACTGAAGATTGTGATGATTACTTGTGATGGAAAACTCACAGTAGCCCTCCCTGGTCGTCAAATAGTGAATTAGCGTACCTGGTGGATCGGTAATTAACTAAATTTTTGCCTCTACAGTATTTCTGGGAGTTTCCACACCGCTTACGTCGGAGACACTTAGGTCAGTGCCACTTACATCAGAGGCACTTGCCTTTGGAACAGACCTAACACTGATGTAGCAGATCAGCGCCCGGCAGCACTGACATCAGTGTTTAGGTCTGTTCCAAAGGCAAGTGCTACTGATCTGAGCACTTGCCATTTTTACCAGGGGTACGATTCAAGTTCCTTTTCCTGTATCGTCTGGTACAGTTAGGTACCTGCAAGGCGGTTGTAACTGATCCTACTTTGTCAGAACAGTTTTAAGCACGAGTAGGTTTATGCAATATATGGACTTTTAGAAACCTTATTTTAAATATACATTAGTTTCGCTTTGATCAGGAATTCCCCTACTCCTCCATGTTTTTGAAGTTTTTCATGGAAAATTGAGGTACCTAATGCTGTTTCAGAGTGGTGGCGAGGGTAATCAGCCAATCATCTCAGCCGTAACCAACATTTTCTAATGTGAAAAAAAACGAAAGTATCCGATCAAAGAGATATTAAAGTATTCTTGGTTTTATGCCTACCTACTCGGTGTTTTGGAGGAAATCTACGTTACCTGTGTCCTGCATTACTATCAAAAAGATTCAAAATAAATTGAAAATGTATTATCAATTGCCAAAAGTAATATCATTAGCCGTTGGTAAAAGTATTTTTTAAAACGTTTCATTGTTCCAAGTATCATATATTTCATCTGATACGTTTTTACTAATAATAAAGTATTCATGTGTTAATCATCAATAAAATGGTCTACCGAGCCCACAAAATTTGTTTCCTTTATGTTTGAAAAGATTCTACTCACATTATTAGGTAAAGTATTCTGCCCATAGATTTCCCAAGGTGGTGCTCCTGATCAAAACGCATCTTAAAATGTTGTGAAAAACTTGTTTAGTGTGTTTGATGAGTTATTTGTGTTCGAAGTACCTACCTACCTACCTAACTCGTGTGTTTAGTGTTTGCCATGTTTTTGCAATTGGGGAGTTTGAAGCGATGAAAAGAATGTTAAAGTCTTATCAAGAAGCTGATCTGAGCAGTTTTCATCGAGGGCAAGTGATTATTGTACCTATGCAGTTTTTACGAGGAGCCACATATCGACGGTGAAAGTCACAAAGCACGTATCTTATTTTTGGTGCTTAAAAATCTCCACTCCTATTTTATTTGTTTGAGGGCGAACAAGTCTGCATCATTCATCACCTGAAGTTTTTTAATAATTTTCTTCGCACAAAGAAGCAAAAGTACGAAAGTTTTTTATCGACGACGTTGAGTCGTTCTCCAGGTAAAATATTAAGTACCCACAACAGGAAGTCTGCAACGCCGTGAACCTTAATACCTAGGTACGTACGGTTTTGGAGTTTCATCATCGATATTATAGAAAGTACACTCCAATGAAGATGTTAGAATTACATGCTAAGGAGAAATCAGTTTTAAACTGAAAATTGGTTTCTACCCAATAAAGCAGTGCGATTGTTATGTTCACAGATTTATGATGAGAGCAGATTGAGATTCCTAGTATGCATATTGTTGCGAACTTATTGTTAATCACTACTTTACTCTTAAAATTATCCATCGGCTTTTCCCATCTTACGTCGACACAGTGACATGATAGTTCAGAACGACCGAACCGAATATGTCGACCCTGCGGAGGATAATGTAAGTATGCACATCTCCATTGTTCACAGGTACCTCACCCCATCCCCCTCATGGGTTCATCTATACCTACTATTACCTCTCTAGCCCCCTAAATTTTTGATGAAGTACCTCCTGACCGCTTCGCGGTTCAACCCCCCGTAGGCGCTTCGCGCCGACGACGACACACGGGATTCCACGGGAGTTTTGCAGGACTACAAACCGATTTTCGTTTTTCCCATAGTCCCCAGCCACGCCCACATTTTCCGACGACGCACAATGGATCGAGTCAGTAGGCGTGGTCGGACAAAATTTGCAACTCTAAACACTTATAGCAGCTCCGTTTATACACAATTTTGACGTTCTGAAGGTGGTTCTATTGGTTTCCTCAAAATATCCCCTTCAGTGAGCACCCCTTGAAAGGACTACGTGCAAAACGGGCCATTTGGGGCTCGGGGCGGATACTTTTGAGACTTGCCCTATTCATTCACCTAACAATGCCCCATCTTTTCCCAAAGTTTCAAGCCCCCCAAAAATTTTGGGGAGACGCGGCGGGGGGTCAAAGTTAAAAACCGGCAAAATTTTCGCGAATTTATTACTCGAAAATCAAGAAGTTTTGGGAAATGCGGTTTAAACGAGCGTATTCAGCGTGACAAGAGCTTTCAAAAAATGTATAACATCATAGGGTTTTGTCAACTTCAGCTCGAGTTATCGCCTCCGAAGCGCCGGAACGCTCAAAAAAGACCCCTTATTTTTTCACGTTTGGGCCGATTTAAAAAAAAGCCATTTTTTTATTTTCGTGAAAAACTGATATATTGCTCCTGACTCTCTGTAGCCCCACTAGCTCTTTACCGCATGCTGGGGAAATGTTTCGGTCGCGAGTTATATGAGCGGAAAGGAGCGAAGGTCGGGAAAATTGGCTATTTTAAACTGCGCGCGCGGCGTTGATCGGAGGGAAAACGTTCCCTCCCACTCAGTTCGGCGAATCACACTCCTCTGCCAACCTCGCATTGTTGCCACATGTCTCCTAATCCGTCACCGCGCGCAGTTTAAAATAGCCGATTTTCCCGACCTTCGCTCCTTTCCGCTCATATAACTCAGGACCGAAACATTTCCCCAGCATGCGGTAAAGAGCTAGAGGGGCTACAGAGAGTCAGGAACAATATATCAGTTTTTCAGGAAAATAAAAAAATGGCTTTTTTTTAAATCGGCCCAAACGTGAAAAAATAAGGGGTCTTTTTTGAGCGTTCCGGCGCTTCGGAGGCGATAACTCGAGCTGAAGTTGACAAAACCCTATGATGTTATACATTTTCTGAAAGCTCTTGTCACGCTGAATACGCTCGTTTAAACCGCATTTCCCAAAACTTCTTGATTTTCGAGTAATAAATTCGCGAAAATTTTGCCGGTTTTTAACTTTGACCCCCCGCCGCGTCTCCCCAAAGTTTTTGGGGGGCTTGAAACTTTGGAAAAAGATGGGGCATTGTTAGGTGAATGAATAGGGCAAGTCTCAAAAGTATCCGCCCCGAGCCCCAAATGGCCCGTTTTGCACGTAGTCCTTTAAAATGTGACGAAATAAACATCAAAATTTGCAGTTTTAGTAAAAAATTTCACGTTAAACCTCTCTCTTTAAGCGGATCCACTATGCGACACTCCGATGACCCTCCATCTGAAGCAGCTATCACACGTCGGGGACTGTAAGTACTTACGTATGATAGCTGCTTATAATGGTCAGTGTCGACGACACTCGCTGACGTTATCGCAGCGTCGTCGAAATAAAATATATCTTTTACCTCTATATGTAGGTACACTCTTCGATGATAAAACGGGAGTTAGTGCCAGCTGTTGACAAGTATCACCAGCCGAACTTGCGAATTATTAACCATAATAGTCACTAAGTATATTTCAGATGATTTCTTTAGAAAATAGCACATGATTGGCCGTGAAACATCAGTAAAACTATTAAAGAACGTTGTAATAATACATTTGAATTTTCTCCGATGCTTTATGCAAATAAACCCACATTTTAAGTCATTCTGTACACCATCTGTTTACAATGTCTGCCATTTTTGGGTCCCAAGAACTCCTTGAAGCTTAAGATGAAGAACTTCGATTTTATGTCGAATTGGTGCCTGGAGATGTACCTAAAACGAGAACACAATTGTGTTCAGAGTGGAAATATATGCAGAAATGCGGATCCGGAATGCTTGATATTTCTTTCCCCTCCCTCCAAAAGCAACGTTCCATTGGATAAATAACATAGGTAGTAGGTATGTAGGTATCGTAGATTTATTATATTATTCGTTTTGAATTTTCTTCGGAAACATTAGTTTACTTTTGTAAAATATTTTCAATATAGGAGGGAATGTCTACTTGCCCACTTCTCCTTGGATGCGCAGACAACTGGACTTGGGACAAAGAAAATCGTAGCCCAGAGGTGCGGCTTCATGGCCCGGGACTTAGATACGTCCAATTCCATCCTCACTGGAGCAGCGGGACAGCAGGTGTAAGGGGAACTAGAGCTCTGAATAACGGCAGGTGAGTGTAAATATCAATAAGGAGCATACTGATCATCAAAACTAAATGTCCCACCGGTAAAAATTGGCAATAGAAGCTGCGTTTTAAAATACCATAGGAATTCTCAAGGTCGGCTATAGGTACATAGAAGGCGATAGAAAATCATATAGCTGGCTGTAGAAAGTGAAGAAAATCATACGGCCGAGCTATACGAAGCGATAAAAAATTGTTAAGCCGGGCTATACAGTTTATCGCCTGGCTGTAGCTTTATCGCCATCGCCTATAGAAGCTATAGGAAATCTCGCAGCCGGCTGTTGGTCTATAGTATTTTGAAACACAGATCCTACTGCCAGTTTTCACCCGGGCCACGATGCAAATACTAACTTTTCCCGAACAGAAAAACAAAAAACAACAACATATCGCACAAATTAATAGTTATGGAATGGAAACATTGAAATCATGTTGCAATTTGATGGAATAAAATTGTCATTTTTATTCCATGAAATTGCAATATTTTTAAATCATGTGGTCTATCTATAAATTATTGTGAGATCGATTCCGCGCCTTTGGAATGCGTCTGAAGTGAAAACAACGAGTGAGCAATATCTTGTTTTGAGTTAAGAAATAACAACATACCAAGTGTATTGTTTAGTTTCTAAATAACGAGGAAGGAAGCTTTTCAAGCCAAACATTTTTATTCATCATTTGAAAAGATTAGGGAGTCATCAACATGTACGGCTACAATGGTATACAGATCTTTTGAAATTTTGAGGTACACACAAGGTTCATATGTAGACTTTGTAAAACCTAACTGTAACATAACTGAGTCGTTCATTCCTTGCCAGACACGTGACGCTTGTTTTAAACTGGCGAAATGCCCGTGACTGGAGTCACGGGTCTAGAGGCCGCTAAAATATCAATAACCCCGAAAAAATGGTGGTAGGGGAGCAAGACATGACATTAAAAAAAATTATAAAATCGATAGAAAATGAGTTGACGGGAGAGGAAGATGGAGCTAGAAAAATTAGTTGGGGGGGGGAGGTAGAATAAATGCTGGCAAAAAAATTAAAACTAACCTAGCAATTATATATATATATATATATAAATGAAAAAAGAAATTGAAATAAAACATCAGCTGATAGCAAACAAAGGTTACCAAGGAAACCAAGGAATGGAACAATAAAAAAAGATTAGTGGAAAACAGCGTCTGTGGGGCACTTACGTTAATTACCGTTTATAAGTAATCGGTAAATGCGATTTAACCGAAAATCTATACAGTTCTTCATCAGACCAAAATGGACAAAATTACCAAATTTGAATCAGCTAACGTAAATCTAACGGTAGTTATCGTGAACGAAAGAATTGACGACATAGGTTGGGTAACTATTATAGGTGGGATTGGATTATAGGTGGGACAATACAAAGCCTCTGAGAGTGGGTAAGCAAACCTTATCTTTGTCATTTTCATCTACGAAGCATTGAGGCTGTTCTGTAGAAAGTTCTCTGGTAAAAATTATCAGCTAAAAATATAGGTGACATCACCTCACCTAATTTAGGTGAAGTGATTTTTGGAACAGGTGATGTCACCTAAAATTATAGGTGATGTCACCCAAAACTACATGTAGTTGATTGTGGCTAGCATTGCGGGGCCGTGAAAAAAAGCCCCCCCCCCCCTCAAAATGGGTTATCTACGGGGATTATTTCAAAAACTGTGAAGAATGGCATCCACGTCACACTGCTAGGCACTTGCGTTGGAATTTCGATTTGGAATTATTTGCCTGCTCCGGGAATTGAACCTGGGACCTCCCGAACAGTGAATGAAGACCTTACCAACTAAGATATGCCGGCCGCCTGAAAACAGTGACAAAAAACCTGCATTTAGCTTCGAATTAAACGTGCACTGTACAGCCAGGATTGATTTGTTCGTTTTTTACTTTAATTCATTTCAGTTTATTACTTTACTTCATTTTATTTTTTGACCTATTTTTTTATTTTTAAGTACCTTTATTTTATTTTATATTCTTTTTTATTTATTTTACTCTACTTTATTATTACACTCTATTATATTATTTTCCCTATTTTACTTTTTCACTATATTTTATTTTTTTAATTTACTTTTTTTTACTTTTTTATTTTATCACGCTGTGTTATTTTACTTTTGTCTGTGTTTTATTTTATTTTATTTAATTTTATTTTATTTAGTATGGTTCATTTTCAGACTGCATTTTCTTTTTCACTTTATTTTGTTTTTGTGACTTTTTTCATTTTCTAACGTCCACTTCTAACGTATATTTTTCTACATTTCATGTCTTTAATCTAGTTTATTTTTACTTCATTCTTGTTCTTATTTTACTTAATGTTCTAAATTTCCTTTTTTTTTACATATATTTATTCTTATAGTTTTTTTCCACTGGAGCTATAAAAATGTTTAGCACGAAACAAATGTTCTATTATGTACCCATGAAATTATCCAATAATTCGCTAGGTAATATTCAACTTTCCTTACTTAATCCTGAAACTCAAATGCGACCTGTGTGATGTCTCCTAGCTTCCAGGTGATGTCACCTAGCTTCCAGGTGATGTCACCTAGCTTCCAGGTGATGTCACCTAGCTTCCAGGTGATGTCACCTAGCTTCCAGGTGATGTCACCTAGCTTCCAGGTGATGTCACCTACCTTCCAGGTGATGTCACCTACCTTCCAAGTGATATCACCAAGCTTCTACGTGTTGTCACCTATTTTTCAGGTGATGTCACCTACTTTTCAGGTGATATCACCTATTTTTTAGGTGGTCATTTTTACCAGGGTTTCAGATAAGTCTCCGTTTAAAACGGCATTGTTAACATCAACATGGTCAATCTTGAAACCCAATTTTGCAGACAAACTAAAGAGTAATCTGGGAGAGGATTTGCACATGACTGTAGAAAATGTCTCTTCATAGTCAACACCAAACTCTTGTGTGAACCTTATAGCGGCTAACCTAGCCTTGAACTTAGGATCACCATTGACTGGCGATGTTTAATTTTATAAACCCACTTACATCTAATAACATTGACATCTTTTGGTCTTTCGACGAGTCTCCATGTGTTGTTGTGGTGCAAAGTCTGCATTTCTTTCTCCATCGCTAGTTGCCACTGTGCAGAGTCTTCTGACTTTTGACCGCTTGACTGTAGGTCACTGGAGCAGATTCGACTTCATCACAGAGATACATCACGTAATCTGGAAACTCCTTTTTCTTCCTTTGCCTGATGGGGCGTAAAACGGTTTTCATTCAGTTGGTTGAAAGATTCATCGGTGTTGTCATTATTGGTACCAGTATCGCTGTTTACACGAATTCGAACTGAATCTTTGGTACTTTTAATTTCAGATTCAGCACTTTCTGATTTCAGCTTCGCACTCTGTCCGTTTTCAATGAACACTAGGTATATCGTGTAACCACACTATCTTATTTGGATTTTTTGGGTCAATGAGACGATATGCTTTTCGATTCTTCTGAATGACCGACAAAAATGTGCTTCTTACTCTTTGCATCCAGTTTCTTCCTCAATGCATCTGATATATGCATATCGACGGTGAAAGTCGGCAATCACATAACTCGATTTTTGGCGGTTTTGAGTTAGCTGCAGAAATGAAGTGTAGAAGATGCCCTTTATCTGCTATCAAAATATTTCAGTCGAAAAAAATTTGGAAGTCACCTAAAAACGTAGAACTCAAAACACATAACTCGGTTTTTCGGTCATTTCTCCTGACAGACGAGAATATTATTCAAAATGATGATGGAGTCTTATAAAGCATCTTATCTTTGCTGTCTCTAAGAATTATTTCCCCTCTACCTTGAAAGATGAGGAATGTAGAGAGTTTTTTCCCTCTCCTGAAAAATCTCGTTTGCGGTGTCTGAAAATCTTCGCCTCTTTGTTTTTTTTTTAAAGGAACTTAAATTGACATCATTTTTTGAAGTTTTTGCAGAATTTTCTTCGCGCAGAGAAGAAAAATCACGGCAGTTTTAAAGAATTGCCGTTGAGTAGTTTTCCGTTTAAATAATAAAGTGTGACAAGAAGTCTGCGACGTCGCAAACCGAGTTATGTGATTGCCGACTTACACCGTCGATATGCCTCACAGCCAAAAATTCTCAGATGAGACAAATCCGCTTTCTTTCCACTTCAAACTCTTTGGGGTGCTTTACCGACGACAGCCCTGTGGGCTGTGGGGGAACGATATTTTAAGTAGACAGCTGTATTGGCTGCTTCCGCCCAAAACTCTTTTGGAAGATTTGCGTCCTCTAGCATGCAGCGAGTCTTCTTCATGATCCAACGATTCACCCTCTTAGTATCACCATTTTGTTGCGGCGATCTAGACACTGATTTCTGGTACAAAATACTATTCTGCCGAAAGAACTTGACCGTAGCGTTGCTGATATATTTGTCAATACAATACAACTGTCGGATCTAAGAATTTTTACTTTCCTTTCCGTCTGGTTTTTGCTAAAGCCTTGAAGTCCATTAAAATGGTCATAAACCTCATACTTGGCTCGCAAAAAATAAATGAAAACTTTTCTTGAGAGATCATCAGAAAAGGTGAGTATGTATTTCTCACCGCTGAAAGATTGAATGCTCATTGGCCCGCAAAGATCAATAAGCCCAGTGCCCAATAATTATTTTGCAAGATCACAGCCTATTTTCTTGAATGGTTTACGAGCATGTTTGCCCTTTATGCAAGGAATACAAATATCGGGGTTGTGCAGGCCATGCTTGTTAAAGCTTACTCCAGTAGCCATACCTTTGTCCAGAAGAGCCATTCCATACCGGGTGTAAAGGTCGACTTTGCCCGCTAGGGGAAAAGTCGTCGCATGGGACCGGAGTTCCGGAAGGGTGAAGAGTGAAACAGCAAAAAGAGAACACACGGAGTGAGAAGGAGCCCACCTCAACCGCCCAACCTCCACACGAGATCACACACTATCACTATACAGGGTGATCCAAAAGTTCCTTCCACTCCCTCTAATTTTTACCTAATTCAGCTAAAGATTTGAAACTTGGAGGATGTTCCAAGGTCAAAGGGAGCTACTGATTGGCCCCCCTTGGGGGGGGGGACGGACCACAACTTTTAATTTTCAAATGGGAAGACCCCCTTTGTGATAGCTCGTTCGAAAGAGCATAAAAAAAGGAAAACTTTTCGCGCAAGCCGAGGTCGATATCTCAAACCGTTTCAAAATGGCGGCCGGTTATAGTTCAAAATGTCCGAAAATTCACACCGGTTATTTGTCGATGGATTTACGCGAAAATCGGTTTGTAGGGGTATTTTGACACGAGAAAAACGAATCTGACGTTAGATTTTCAAAAAAGCCAAAATTTCCGAAATGGCCGCCGGTTAAAGTTTAAAATGGCCGAAAATTTTCACCTTGGTTTTTTCCCGACGGATTTGCCTAAAACTTGGAATTTGAGAGTATATTGGCATAAGATAAACAAATTTGAACTTAGATTTATAAAAAAAATCAATTTTTGGTCATTTTGAACTTTGACCAGCGGCCATGTTGGAAATTTCGATTTTTTTAAAAATCTAACGTCAAATTCGTTTTTCTCGTGTCAAAATACCCCAACATACCGGTTTTCGCGCAAATCCATCAACAAATAACCGGTGTGAATTTTCGGCCATTTTGAACTTTAACCGGCCGCAATTTTGAAACGGTTTGAGATATTGACTTCGGGTTTGCGCGAAAAGTTTTCTTTTTTTATGCTCTTTCGAACGAGCTATCATAAAGGGGGTCTTCCTATTTGAAAATTTAAAGTTGGGGGCCGTCCCCCCCCCCAAAATTTTAGGGGAGCCAAAAAGTAGCTTCCTTTGACCTTGGAATATCCCCCAAGTTTCAAATCTTTACCTGAATTAGGTAAAAAGTTAGAGGGGGTGGAAGGGACTTTTGGATCACCCTGTATTATGCAAAAGAACGACAAAAAACAATTTGATGCCTGTAATTGCTGCTAACTGCCTTTAAAAGTTGCGTCCAAAACGCTAAAAAGGCGAGTCTCGAACATTTTCGCCGCGACTAAAAACGCGTCGTGGCAGAACTAGAAATCATCCGAATTTGCTCAAATTTGGGGATATTAAATGTTTCACATAATGACACAATAAAACCATCGAACATCGTGGACCCGAGAAATTTTTTTGGATAGTTCGGGACACCCTAATGCATACCTATAAAATATCTTATTTAGATACAAATATTTAATACTGCATAAAATGGATAAGTAATATGTATGAAATATGGATCCACTCGATAATTATCTGAAACTAGTATTTTGGCTATATTAGGGAACCGTCAACGAAAGTGAGCAGACGGCAGATGATGGCGGATTGGATGACTCAAACATGAACATTGAGAGATTAAATACTTCTCAGACATTTTCAAAGACGAGAACTCTCTCATAGTTTCTTACCGTCATCTACTCCTAGATATTTTTACACAGAGATCAGGAATTAATGTTAATTCTGATTCTCTCGTTGGGCACACATTTTGCGCCCCTAAATCCAAAGTATTTCATTCGCTCGCCCGTCTAAGAGAGGAGTTACGAAGCGTTTTAATAGCTGTCCTTTGGAATAGAGTACCTGAGACTTTCGTTATAGGTAATGTAAAATGTTAACGAATTTAAATTCTTTGTTGCAAGGTTAATTAAATTTATTTGAAATTTCGTTTTTTAGATACTACTGGGAACTCCAAATATCGCAGAGGATTTTTGGAACGAGCATGATGTTCGGAGTGGGAACAAAACAGGCACGGTTACACGCAGCTTCTTTTGTCAACTTAGTTGGTGAAAATCAGCATAGTTGGGGCCTTTCACATAAAGGTCTTCTATGGCATGGAGGCTATAGAAAAGTTTATACGAAGCCCTTCAGAGAGAATGAAGCCACTATTATAGGAATTTTATTTGATGGTATCAATGGAACTCTTACATACTATAAGGACGGTAAAAATTTAGGTATTGCTTTTAGTGGTCTACAAGATGTAAAAGAAGCCCTTTATCCTATGGTCTGCTCAACAGCAGCCAAGACAGAGATGACTTTAATGTTTATGAGACGAGACTTTGTAAATCTACAAGATAGATGTAGAGCCGTAATTTTAAAAACCATTAACAATAATCAACAAACTTTAGAACAATTACAATTACCTAGTATGATTAAAAACTACCTTTCGGAACCATTAGGAAGGAAAAATAGAACGGCAGGAGCAAATAACAAAAATAAAAAGGCTGCAAGTCATTCAAGTTACTACTGTGATTTTTAGCAGCTGAATCACCATGCACGCAGTCTTTAAAAGTGATGGAAAACCTCCTTTCGAATTTATTTCTCTCACCAAAATGATAATAATGTGTAGGAGGTATAGTTCAATTGAATTTGTATAATTAAGTTTTAATCATCGAACTGAATTTTTAAAACCGTTTTTATAATTTCTCCCGAACTTTTTATGCAGCTGATTTGACGAGGTTGGTACATGGGTACATTTTTATCTGGTTAAACATGAATGTGTGTCCTAAAATCTTCTCAACGTTATATGTAGGTATGTGTGCCGGAAAGAATAATATAATGGGCCTGTTCGGCTGGTGAGGGGTTGGCTTAAAAAGTTTGCATTTAGAGTAAAATTTTACCAGAAGAACGATGAGCACGATAAAAACGTTTGAAAAAAATTTCTAAGGGGAGAAATGACGATTTTAAAATCGTACCACTCAAAAACGCTACCTATTTGAATCCGGGCTGTTGGCGCGAACGCTGAAGGCTGACGTCACACATTAGGTGACCCTTGGTTTATTTTGAGTTAGTCCAAACAATATGGTGCTGCCCGGTTTGTTTCTTAGCTAAATTTTCTATTTTTGACACTACATTGTGAAGCAGGGGTAAAATTTGACGAGAAATTCATTGAAAACTCGGTTTCGTCCGAAACTAACTCCTTCTTGATGAAAAGAGGCGTTACAGATCGTGAATTTTATTCACCGGGCGACGGCGACTGAGCATCGGCCATCGGAACGACGGGCTCGTAAACAAACGGAGATTGATGACAGGAAGGATCCAAACAACTTGAAATACTTTAATTGTCTTTAATTTTAAACCATATTTTCGACTTCCACAAAGCATTTGATAATCATTTCCATCGTATTTTACAACTCGGAGCTTCAGTCTGTTGGCTCATTGTTAAGTGCATTCTGAAACAGAAAGTCAGTTCTCACAAGTTCAAACCCTGCCATTCTTTTCTTTGATCATTTTCTTTTCATTTTCGCCTCAAATACAGTGTTTTGTAGTTTCCTTGTCTAAGTAAAGTAGGTATATGTGGTTTTGAATTCATGCAAGAGTTTGAAGTTCACCTTGTTTTTAGTATTACAGCCTCTTGACCCCTCAAACTTTACCGATATGATTTCATGTAGTTTAAGGTTCCTCTGGTCCCAACCAAGTTACACATCAAAGATGTGCCCTGGTTCTTCAAATTAGCAGTCTAGAAGTAAAGTAGAGACTATACAATAACTTAATCCCGTCCTGCCCCTTTCTTCAGTGTTTGTTCGTGTCTGTCCTTTACGCGTGACCACTCTAGTACATACACAGGTACTTACTGTAGGTTACATGGGTATTATCGCCTAATTTTCTATTAGCAGGACCTTCTCTCAAGAGTCCTAATTTATCAAAGGAATTCCACCAGTTGCAGATAATTTTGTGCGTAATTAATGAGTGAATACCTGCTTGTGGTGACTCAAAGTTTCTCAGATCCGTCTTAAGTGGGTTTTGCAGGTAGGCAATCACTTTTGCCAGATAAGATTCCTGCTCTCGCAGCTTCTCATTAAAGAAACTTTGAGCTGTGATTCATCAATAAATGAAACTCATGGTGTCATTTATCATCAATCAGTTTAAAGCTACTTCGACTATGAATCATCAAAGGTCCGATTGAAGAAGAAATTTTCCGGTGATAAGTGCTGGTGTGGCTGAATCGAGATTACTTCCTAATAATCTCGGACAAAATCGAGTGTTTAAATGAATTTCTCGTACAATTTAACCCCTGATTCACAATATAGTGTCACAAATAGAAACTTTAACTAAAGAAACAAACCAGGCATCAGCAGCCATATTGTGCGGACTAACTCGCGAAATAAACCAAAGGGTCACCTAATGTGTGACGTTTTAAAATGGCGTCAAGCGCGTGGCGCCAACAATGAGGATTCAAAAAGCGTTCCAGAGACCTTCAATTTTTGGTGTTTTTAAAGTAAGATTTCTCAGAGGGCTCAAAAAAATCTGCATGAAAAAAAAAATCCAGTTTACTCACTTCACCTAGTGCTTTCATAGTATGCAATTAAAAAATTCAGTCGAACTGGCCCATTGAAATTATCAGAACCTTCTCAGTTTACTCTGCAGCTTAATTCACATCAGGAATGTACATATCTAATAAAAAAAGACAGCAAGTTTCACCGCAGCTTTTTGAATATCATAGTGATAATGCAGGGAAGAGAATATTTAATCTATTTTATTTTATTTTCCTCCCTAACATAAGCTAAATGAAATACACATCATAAACCAACCTGTGTTCAATGTCTCTGTATAAATGAATAAAATTGAATCATAAGTTTGTATTTAAAATTAGGGTCAATTTCTTAAGGTAACCATCGAAGGCAACAACTAGGTATCTCTTAAACGTTATGCTCCACAAAGAACCGAGATGTTATGATCTTATCCAGATTTCAAATGACTTTCCTGTTAAAAAAATTTCCTAAATACGTAGGTATTTCTCAGTTTGATGCACTCATCTTCCCTTATGCATGTTTTAGTCCACGATTTTGGAGTTGGAAGGTCGAGCAATCAATTATGTTCCTAGTTCAGTTTCAGTACACTGTTAAAGTTCAAGTTCTAGAAATGTTTCGTTTATCTTTGTCCAACCATTTGTGAAATTATCTTTGAAAATTTATTTCCTCCATCAAAGTGATTCCTGATTTCACTTTCGCTCTGAATTATTTTGGTAAAGGGGTTTGAACCAGTAGTAGGAAAATGGGAACTTGAGCCCAAAAGTTTTTAGCCAAATTGTGCAGAAAAATACGAATTAAATTACAGTGGTGTATGGTGATTATTCTTCAAAATGGCAAACCTATAAAAAAGAAGTATTATATGTTGCCCCTTCAATAAGCGGGTTATGCAATGGTACATGTAGCCCCTTCAATCTGCGGGTTATGCAATGGTGTGTGTTACCCCTTCAAGATGGTGGTTATGCGACAGCGTTGCCGGATAGTGCACTTAGATAAAATGATTTAAATATCGGTGAAATTTTGCAACATAGAACTTTACAGTGTTGCCAGATGGGGCAAGAAATTCGGATTTTTGGACTTCGGTAAAAAATTTTGGCATCGATAGACCGTCTCCTCCAGTATGGGTCTAGTATCGGAAACTGGAGAGTAGGGTCTGATTCGGGAAATTGAAAAATTGTCGGAAAATTGCCCTCCTCCGATCCGCCGCGGACCGATGCGATTCTTTTACACTATCGAAGATCGGAAAACTGTGCGGACCGAATTTTGATACGACTTTTTGTTTTCGAGATTTTGGACTTGTAAAATTTTCGGCATCGATAGAGACCGTCTCCTCCAGTACGGGTCTGGTATCGGAGGCTGGGGAGTAGGGTCTGATGCAGAATTTCAATTTTTAGTGGCGTGGCGGTGGTGTGCGCTTGGAGATGTGTATCGGACCTTGTGTTTTGGGACGAGCAATTGGAATTGGATGTTGCTATGTTCAGTTTGATGAATCAAAAATTTTTATTTTTATTCTTTTTTGGTGGATATTTACTGTTACAGTTTAAAAAACGCGGACGTTTTCTAGGTTAAAACTTCAAGAAATAATGTCAATTTGCTCTCCTTTAAAAAAATGACGTAGAGGCGGAGATTTTCAGACACCGCAAACGAGTTATGTGATTGCGGACTTTCACCGTCGATATAATACTTCTTTTTTATAGTGTTGCCATATTGAACAATAATCACCATACACCACTGTAATTTAATTCGTATTTTTTTGCACAATTTGGCTAAAAACTTTTGGGCTCAAGTTCCCATTTTCCTACACTTGAACCTGCGTTGTTTATCACTCTTAGACAACAAGCTTATTTCTCAGGTTGAAGAATTAGTGAGTAAGTTGGAATTTCTCCACATTTTAGTAGATTTTTGGCCATAAAATTATCAATTCAGTAGGTAGGATCCACGATATGAAATCTTCATTTTCATGCAGTTAGTGACACTATTACCACAGGAATATTTTATCTCACCATTTTCCGGTTTCAATAACCAAAGCTTTCTTATTGAAAATACTTTCTCTTCTCCTCCTTATTGGTGCTCTGTTCAATAGTACAGACATTTGGCTTCATTAAACATGTAAATAGAAACCGTACCTGCCTGAAAATGTTTCAGTAAACGTTTATTTATTTCTATCTTCCTTTTATTTGTTTTAACACCGTCGCAAACGAAATAAAAAAGGTTTTAAGGAGAAAGAATGCTTTTGGATTCTAGTCAGTCGTCACTTAAAAACTAAAAACTAATGTTCACAAAATCACGACGGTGTTGAAAAAGAACGAAGCAAGTAGAAAAGGTGCCACGTTCTCACTGGGCGTAAGTAATGAAGTTGAATCAGAGGGGAAAAATGAGGTTTCAAGAAAGTTTAGTTTTATCTACCCTTATTTGTTCTGCCTTCTGTTTCCTTTTTACAGCAGGAAAAAATGTAACCACTGCAACCAAACTGAAAAATATACCAACTCTTTTAAAGAGAATATTTAAATAAGTTGGAGAGTTGTATAATATTTTGCATTGCCACGAAATAATGCTGACATGGAAACCGATGTAAAGTCATTATGCTCCATTGAGGAGCTTAGCTTAATTCTAATTTAGAAGTTTCAACTCAGAAGATAGATCTACATAAAATGTCTTTCACTTGCATAGATAATTCCCGTTGAAAATTGATGTTGTTGTTATTTTTTACTCTCCTCTTCAAATTTTGTTGCGTCTACATGTACAGCAGGTTTTTTTCCGTTTTTCTTGTTTGGATTATTGTTGTTTGAGTTACCCATTCATAAAAAGTACATCGGTCTCAACGATTGATGAATGTCAGCTACTCTGATCTCATGTTAGTGAAAGTAAGTACCTATAATTAGGATGTATGTTATCAATACGTGTATCAATACATGAATAATGTGACTTTTTTGTATTATTAAACGCCGTCACATAGCTGAGCGGTGATTCTCAATTCATTTGAAATGTGTATCTATTGTCTTTTTTATTTTTTAAATATCACATTAGGCCTATGAATGGTTGAGTATGAGACTGTCTCTTCTTAAAAGGATACTAAAGTTTCTATTTTCCTTTATACCCTTCAAAATCTTTTAAACGCCTTAGGTAAGTCTAAAACAATAGTATTACATTTTTCATACCTGCCTCCTTAACCCTACTAAAAATTGTTGGCAAACCATTTCATGTTGGGCTAATTGCAAAATTAGCATTTTAAAAACATTGTAAAATCCAACATTAATCACTTTTTGCTTTATACCTATACCTACGTTTCCTTGATATGTTGATTATTTCCGAAGATGTCACACATTGCAGATTAAACGTCTGTCCTGATACTGGAAAATCTGGAAATTATTTAGACTCGGATTTACAAAACGGGCCAAGAGATTCTACTGAATCATCAGACGTTTTATTCGCATCAATACCGAATCAACTAGCTAGTATCGTATCGGTAGAGATTCTGCTGATGTTCCTGGTCGTCATTTTTAGCAAGCATTCTAAATCAGTTTTGTCACAGTATGTAACTATAGGAGGGACAATTGAAAACACGAATGCAATGATGCCCGAGCAGAAAATATTTTAAGACCTCCCAGCGCCGTTTTAAGGGGCGATCGTCTAAGAGCTCCCTCCCAAAGATGATTTTTCATTCCCATTATTTTTGCGTACAAACTGCAAAAGAGTTGCCTTCACAAATAGTGAGTTTTCTTTCCCTTAATCTTTAACTTTCATGGAACTCAGGCACAAAATCCAAAGGATTTTCAATTAAAATATGCCTTACGGTGACCTTTGCATCTTAAACTGAGTCAATTTTTCAAAATTTTCCGAGGTAAGTCCCACCGACGCCCCCTTTGTACAAGGTGTATCCCAAACCTTATAGACCCTCTCTGACCTTCTAGACTCAGATATCTGAAAAATGATCTACCCAATATACCCATGCTGGTGGTGGTGGGGGGGGGGGGGGGGGTGTCGCTAAGTTCGCCCAGGGGCACCCACCTCCTTTAATTCGTCGCTGAGTCGTCCGCTTTTTGAATAATTGCTTATAATTATCCATGATACATGGGTAAAGTTTTAGGTTAAGAACGAATGAAATATATATATATATATATTTATATAAGTTATAGCACATACAGTTATCTCGGCTAACATGAAACAAATTATATATAAAGTAGCCATGATTAGCCCGCTATGTGAGCTGTCACGCCTAGCCGGGGAGTGCCCCTGGACCCACGGTTCCTTGCCTCGCGATGAACTTGTGACTCGCTCCTCGAGTGCCTCGAGCCTCTCATAGCTATTAACATTCAAAAATAATAATAATGAGAAGACAGCATCTTCGCCACTTTGGCGACGGCCGCCATCTTGGATTCAGGAATTCTGAAAATCTGACTGAAAATTCGAGTGTACTGTCGAAAAATACCTATCCCCCGATGCCAAGTTTCACGAAAATCGATCGAAAATGAAGGAGAAAGAAAAAAGTGAGGAGGTCAAAAAAACATAAGATCAGTGAGGCGAATGTCCTGCAAGATGGAACATAAACATACAGTTAAATATGGAAGACAGTTTTGATGAGATATTTAGGTGCAGCCAGGCTAACATTGTGTACGTGAAAGGAGTGAAGGGATAAACAATTTCGCGAGAGAGGCACACAGTACCTATACCTATTGGAAGATCAAACGCGATCGAGGCACATGGTGGCTCTGGTGTGACGTCACGCAACACAATTCAACCTGTTCAGTCCGGTGCGCGTGAACAACCTCGTATCCCCGACGCATCACTAGGGATAAACTACTTTTCGCTCTTCCGGGAGTCCTGGGCAACGTTTTCAAATCGGAATAATTTTGATCAACTCCTCACGACAATAGGATGTATTCATGCTAAAAGGAACTATGTTGGACACAAACCCTAAATTTTTTTTTATTTCAACAAAACTTATTCATTTACGTTATGTTAGTCGAGATAGCTGTATGTGCTAGCTATCTGCATGTTCAATGATGACGCTCCTAATAAATTACAAAGCACATTTAAAAGTTTACAAATTGGCAGAGAAGAGTGCGAATACAAAATTGACAGCAAGAGATACTGCTCTTTTGCATGGCTAGTGGACTTACGGCTGTTCTTTCTTCAATGACGTCCTTTTTTCAGTCTCATAACTCGTTTCTTCAAAGTGAGAATACTATCATTCAGTAGGTACGTGCATATTAGTTTGGTTAAATTGTAAAGAAAACTCTTTCCCGAAAAGCTCTTCCATAATCACTCTACACACGAGAAACAATTTGCAAGTATAAATGTTAAAAAACATTTTTTTTGTTATTATGCTTAGATCTTTAACAGGTACATTTAAAATAGTAAGCAAAACGTTAGTAAAATAAAAATCAATGAACTAATTACTTTGACGAAGGTTTAGATAGCAATGCAACCATGAATGTTCGACTTTCTTCATGCCTCTATTTGTAACTCGCACAGTTACTCTATTACAAAGAGTTTATAAGTGTCTGATAGAGTCGTAAAAAAAGATTATGGCAGTGAAATTGCTCCGTATGACAACATTACACACATATTAAACACAAGAATGGGTTTCAAAACGAAAAACTGAACCTGGAAACAAACTAAGGATTTCTTTCTATGCATTTTAAGTACATTGTTATTTCTTAAACCCATGTTAATGCCGCAATAATTAATCAGACGCTGAATTTAGCACCTGCATGTGGAAGTCAACAGTCATCGCCCAACGGCTGAAATTTAGCAAATTCGAGTTATTTTCATCCAGATGTGTATCAGATCTACTCGAATAGTTCAGACAAATTCAAAATTGGTCCAATGGTTGCTGAGAATCGTTGCTGAATTTTGCGCGTCACGCGCAAAATTCAGGCATCGGGCCGATGACTTCCACATTCAAGCCACATTCAGCTCCCACATTCAGCGTGTGATTGCGGTGTCTGATGAATCTTTAGCTGTAGTTGCGAAAAAATCCACCACGTTGCGCTGCTAAAATCCGACTCCGAAATCAGTGATTATTTAAATATCACAATAGATATTTTAAATTCTAAAACTCATAAGTTCTAGCAGCATACGTCTGGAATCCTTAGAAACAAACGCGAGCTTTGAAGGTTGAATAATAAAAGCTATAACTTGATCCCAGTTTCTCTCACGGGATATCTGTAAGTGCGAGAGAGACACCTCACGGTACAGGGTACAGGTACTCTAGCTCACGGTGGGAGAGAGATATCTGCAACTGCTGAGAGCGATCAATCGCGATTGGTTGCATTAAGGTCATCATGCTTAACCCTACTTTTTTCTGGGATGAAGTTTCAGAGCTTCAGAAATTACTTTTCACGTCGTTTTTAGTGTCAATAGGAAGAAGAATGTTATGGCTAGAACTTATAACTCTTCGATTTAAACAGAAATTCCTTTAACTTTCATAAAAGCTCAAGGACTCACGTGGAGCTGTACGGATTCTAATAGCGTGGACCAAAAAATCAAAACACAGCGGTGGCGCCCCCTCCGCGGAGAAATTTCTTACTTCACGGAGCTGTAGATAAACCTTAAAATGAGTCCCTTCTTGATCCTGTCTGATTAATAAAGCGTAGGTACTATGATACTGATGCGGATATGCGTTACTTATCAGAAAATTTTTATATTACCATTTCGTCATGAGGTTTTTTTAAGGTTTTGGCAATGCCTCATTTTAATAGATTCTATTGGGGTTAAGTCAACTGAATGGCAGATCTCCACGCATCTAGATTAGAAGTAGCGGAAAATTCACCAGCATTTAAATTTTGGTTGTTAGTCTCTAAGCCGTAATTTAGTCTATGTTAAAGCTCTGTTTTTCTTAGTTTTTAATAAGAAAAATATAAAATTACGTAGTAATTATAAATAAATACCAAGACAATTATTCAGGATGTCAAAGACTGACTGAAAACTTTTTATTAACCTCTTATGAGAAATATACATTTTATCAGCTGACACTGACATTGTTGTCAGATGAACATTCTCCCGAGGGGGCGAAAGTGATTACAATGCATACATGACGTATTATAATTTATTGATATATTTGTGGATATCCGCATTTTATATGCTAATTATGCAATTGATGCTATGTGCATACGATGTCAATGTCTTACAGGCGTCCCCTGCAGTTGAAATGTCACTGTCTTATGGGCGTCCCCTGCAGTTGAAATGTCACTGTCTTACGGGCGTCCCCTGCAGTTGAACAGTCCATTGTTTCAGAACCGATTTAGTTCCACGGTGATCAGGGCGATCACTGCATGGAATTATTAGCCCACGGAGATCAAATCGATCACTGCATGGAATTATTAGCCCACGGAGATCAAATCGATCACTGCATGGAATCATTAGCACACGGAGATCAAATCGATCACTGCATGGAATTATTAGCCCACGGAGATCAAATAGATCACTGCATGGAATTAGATTTTTATGGATATCAACAATATCTGCAGGAAATACTGCCTCATTAAAAACCTTAACCATTTTAAAACTATTGGATAAAAACATAGGCAAGGGAAAAAGATTGCAGTGTACGGTTGTAAGTAGAGTCATATGTCACGATTGGTTGGTAATTTTGATTGTAAAGCTCTGCCAGTTTGTCTCAAGTTCACCAAGAGATTGTTTGAAGTTGATGATTGATTTTCACATATTAGACTTCAAATTTTTTTGCTCTGGAGTACAGGAAGGGTCGTTCAAAAGGGTACAGCATTCAATTAAATTATACTCTAATCATTTGATTTGGGTACCTAAGAGGTCACAGCTGATGATTTTTTATTCATCTTGAATAATCATTCCTGGCCAAACAAAATGTGAAAGTTAAAGTACTCTTTGCTCTGCTCGTTATTCTAGACGGTTTAAAGATATAGGAAGTTAAAGAATAGGATAATAAGAAGTTAAACTTGAATGCCTTCTCCTGTTTTTGTTTATTATTTTCTTCTTTTGCGTTTCTTCTCATCATCGTCTCTCATCATTTTGTTAATTTGTATATCAACGGAGGGTAGTGGCGCTTATAATACAGCAAAGTAGGCGATGAGCATTCAGTCAGGGTTTCATACAAGAATTCATGCATAGGATGCAGGATATACATAGGTCAACACAAGTAAGTTGCCTGAAACAAGAAGACAACAGAAACAGAAAAACGAACTATCTATTTTGCACATTGATTAATATACTTGAGATCATAATGATATGTCTGATAATATCAGATAATTTAGTCCGTTTTGTTTCTACACCTAGTGTAAAATCCTATTTACGTTCTTTCTTATCCAAAGATGTCACTTTATTTCCAGCTAGAAATAAGAATAGCTTTCAATACTACTAATCGCCAATACGGGAATT